GACAGGGGGACATGGTTAATTACAATTACAGTAGTCCGCAAGGACTTGCTTGAGTTACAATTGTCACAGGATAGATGTAGGAGAGAATCTACAAGAGATAAGCATTGTGTATAGCTATAAGGAAGGAAAAGTTGTCGCGTCCACAAGGACTATCTTGAACGACAAACTTCCTTAGAGAAAGGAAAGATGCAACAATGCGAAGGTCTACAGTAACATGTACATCAGTCACGACTGACAAAGAGATACGTCACGACAGCAGCAAACCCTATTAATGAAGGTTTCAGCGTCTTTTGTTCTGACACAGAGCGGAAGTGTAGCCAAACACAGAGATTAAAGTTCATTTTTAACAACAATGCGACTAATTAGTTATAGACGTAATACAAAATTATTTTAACTACTACATTGAATGTAACATTTAATTATTCGCAAGCTCTTTCCCGAGCGAATCTTCTCGGGGAGAGTCCAACTGTGCATGCAGACTTCATTGACAGTGGGTCTGTACCCAAAAATACTGTACTTTACAAAGCAAAACGAGCTGGGAAAATTTATAAATAACTCACCCTATCTGTGGATCTATGATAGGCACTCATGAAATGTCCTACGGAGATTTATCCTGAATCACAAATCGAAAGGATTAACCCAAACATGCCAGCCACATTTAAACGTGTGAGCTGGGTGTGATTAATAAGTGAATCATGAATCAAGCTTAAACCCTAGTCCTATATTATTTTTACGAATGTAAATTGTGGGTCACACAGGTTCAAAATTTGCCGAGCGTATGAATTACTTCGGTTACCTATACCTACTTATCATTACATCGGAACGCGGGTCTATTACGCAAAAACGCAACCCCAGGGTAATCAGGCAATCTGACACTATGATATGGGGAAGACTCCCTGGCGCTATACTCAAAATTAAATCGCGTTACAAGCTCTGTTTTAGCGCCGATAGAACATGAGCAGGTAATGGTTGCTATGCGTTATCCCTATATTGTAACAATTATAGAAAACAACTAAAAGGGGATGGCAAGTAGTTTCCAAAGCCATTTCAACATGCTAATCACTCGAAGTGAAAGTGCGGTCAGAGCAAGCCAGCTGCTTAGGTGGCTTTGACTTAATGCTTTTCACTTAGAAGTCAAATCACGAACGCTCTAAATTCGTCGCAATTGAAACACTATAACTCTCTAATCATGGGAAAAATTATATAAATACTTAATAAATGAACGATATTCATAATGTTTGACTCCATGCCACGATCACACAGTAATGAGATGTGAGGTCAGTGCATGCCATTTGCTGTCAATTAGCACTTTAACCCAAAACCTTATATGAGCGTGACTGCAAATATGGCTTAAATCTTCTCCCATAAATGTGTTAACACTGGTTGCAGGAGTAGTAATAGGGGACGATTACTTTGACTCTTTATTTTCCAAGAGTACAAGCACCACAGAAATAAGTACACACACTCTTGGGATGAACGGGGTTAGTTGGGATGGTCAGGCGGTCAGCCCAGCGGGGCATAAGTGACCTGAGCCTCCCGACCTTTCAGGCCAGGCGGCGGTCACAGAGAGCTTTATATACCTTAGTAGTGCAGTTTATGACTCTGGACTGTCAGATCAGAAAGTCACTAGATGGATTTGCCAGTCAGCAGAGGTCATGAAATCTCTCAACAAGAGTATTTGGAGATGTCGGTACCTGTGTAGATGGACCAAGCTACGAATCTTCAAGGTGCTAATAATGCCAGTTTTACTATATGGTAGTGAAACCCGTCCGCTAGTTTGTGATTTGGAATCTTGTCCTGATGCCTTTGTGTCCAACCAACGGTTGCACTGTACCTGCACAATCTACAATCACCAGCTCAGGCTATATGGCCACCTAGCTCGTTTCCCACAGGATGATCCACCAGGGTGTCTTTGTTTGAGACATCCCTTGGTAGAGGAGGCCTGTGGGATGACCTAGGAAATCGTGGCTTGGGCAAATCGATCAAACCTGTCGTGACGAGCTAGAGATAGGCCGGGCCTCTGCCTGGCAGTTTGCCATGAGGGACCCTCGTAGGTAGAAATAGAGGGTGGATGCAGCTATGCGTCCCCGCAGGAGTTAGCTCTACAATGATATATATATATATATATATATATATATATATATATATATATATATATATAGCCGATTCTATGGTGCAGCAGTATATCATTTTATGTCTATATCTGTCTGTCTCTCTTGTGAGAGTAAGCGGCTCTGTAGCCAAGGGGGGTGCCTTATGCAATTTTATAGGTTATAATTGTTCCCCCCTAAAAGTCCTAGATCCCCATGAGAGTGGTAGCGGGCAAAAGAGGGATCCTAGGTGTATACGAGTCTGCATCGTTTCATAGGACGTTCTCCAAAAGAAAATGATATAAGAGAAAAAAAACTGAATCAAAAATTACTTTAGAATAAAATTAGGTAGTAATAAAACAAAACACTAAAAATAAATGAATAAAATAGTAATAGTATGGCTCGTGATGTTAAAACTCATTACTTTTACCTATAATCATTATATAATTTAAGTTTATCTATCTCCTAATTGGTAAAAACAAGATGACTGTCAGGACACGTAACTTTTGTCTTCAAGAGGACTTGTTCCCGTTAAACAAAAATGGATTGAATCATATGATCGAACGTATCATTTATCGAATGGAAAATAAAACAAAATAAAACCAAACCCAAACGGGTATAACTAAAAGAAACCTAAAACTCCCTAAAACCGTAAAGAAGATAAAAATACGTAAAAGCCTTCGATCTTTTATAGATACCATCACTAGATTCCACTTTTATAAGACGATTTCCAATTACAATAATGCATCCATTTTTTAATTGTAAGTTCCCTTAGGTTTCCTAGATATTTAGTAAAACATTTGAAAGATTACCATGGATGATGTAATCATTCAGTATTTAAGCCAAGAAAATAGGTTCCTTGAATGGAAAACTAATGTTCTGTCTTTGATATATGTACAAGTTAATGATTAAAGAGTATTTTTGCGTATTCAGATTGCTGAATTATTATATATGAGAACTTCTAAATAATATAAATCTTATGTTTTCCAGGCACAGGAACGTGTATTGCTTTTCGTCCTGACGATGAAGGTGTATTGCTCGTTGGAGTTGACACGGGCGTCGTATTTCAGTGTTCAACTTCCTCTACAACGCATGCCCTCATACGTTATCCTGCTCATACTGCTGCTGTTAGAGAGATTGCATGGAATGAACATCACTACAGCGTATTTATAACCTGCTCTGTGGACTGGACAGTGAAAGTGTGGCACCAACACCATTTGTGAGCCAGAGTTTATGTTCACTGTAATGGTTAAATTCTTGTGATTTTGTATCTAATTAATAACATACTAATAGTCAACTAACCCTAGTTTCTTTAATGGCAGATCACCCCTCATCACTCTGGACTTGGGAGGTGCAGTAGCTGGTGTCACATGGTCGCCATACAGCAGCAGTGTATTTGTGGCGATCACGGACGAAGGCCGTGTACACGTGTATGATCTGTTCCTACGTAAATGTAAACCACTCTGTGTTCAAACCCTCGTCCACCGACGGCGCGTAGCAGCAGCATGCGTGGCGTTTAATCCTTTTCATCCCATTATACTAGTGGGTGGTGACAAGTAAGTGTGGTGGCAATACTCAGAAGTTAGATGTATTGAGAACTAGTATAAAATACTAGGCAATACATGGTCTTTTGAAAAGTCTGTTATCATGGAATTATAAGGAACATTTTAAAGTATAGAAATAAGTTTGGCAACAGACAAAACATACAGCTCACACACATACATATACTGTATATATGTGTATATATGCGTAATGAAATATCAATGATGGTGATGATACTAAAAAACGAATAGTTTTAAACAGTAGGACACAATTGCCACACAAAATCAGTTGATATGTTTGCAAGGTGATGATATTGGCAAACTTCCTTGACTAGTTTATTTTATAGTGTTGATTGGCGTATTTTATGGTTAGGTGTCTTTGGTATAAACTGTATTAATAGCATATGTTCTTCTCATGGATTTTGTCATATGAATGGCACTCTAGTTCATTTTTTTAAGTGTGTGTGGGATGAATTTCCTGAAACATCAGTCACAATTTTAAAGTAGGACATTCTTATGTCATACTAGAATCAAAGCAATAATTAGAAAGCTAGTTGTAAAATCATTGATATATTACATTCCCTACACATACAGGGTAGAGTTTGGCAGCATCATTAAGTGGCGCAAAAGAGAGCATATTCTTAATTGTTCTTTCAGTTTGAGGGCTCAGGTGTAATTATTTATACTTTATCATGAATCGTCAAACTTTTTCTTACAAGCATAACATTACACGAATAAGTAGCGATTTGTGTTGTTGGATCCTGAAGGAGACAAGTTTCTTCATATTCTCGGAATATAATTGGTTTTACAGGGGTCCACATACTCAAAAAAAAAAAAAAAAAAAAAAAAAAAAAAAAAAAAAAAAAAAAAAAAAAAAAAAAAGCATGGCCTTTTATCGGAATGCATAGAAAGGCCGATATCAGCCTTAAGTTTGAAAAAAAAAATCTATATATGAAAAAAGGTTAGTATAAAGAGAAAAAAGGGACAAATCGTTGTATAGCTTTATCTATTAACCGTATCCTACTTTCTTCCCATTTACACAACTCTATTACTTTATGAGCAAAATAAGAATTACCACCACAACAATAACAGGAGAATTTACAACATTTTCCAGGCCAGAAAGGTCTAACTATTCCTACTTCCTAAATCAAATAATATATATATATATATATATATATATATATATATATATATATATATATATTATATATATATATATATATATATATATATATATATATATATATATATATATATATATATATATATATATATATATATATATATATATATATATATATATATATATATATATATATATATATATATATATATATATATATATATATATATATATATATATATATAT